GTTAGTAGGTTCAGGCCAGCATTCATGGATGGGCAGTGATGAGTTTGCACACACTGTTCTGTCTGCTTAGTCTGTTTTCCCCTCCTTTCCCACTCCACTGATGGAAATGACGCAGTGATTCAGAGTTACATATAAGGAACAAGTAAGCCATAGTGAAAGTAGGCTTCAGAAAGAGATACAAAGGTCCAAGCAGCATGTGAAAAGATGCTTGACACCACTATCACGAGGGAAATGCAAATCAAAACCACAGTGTGGTACTTAGGGTAGTCAAATTAATAAAAACGGAAAATAGAATGGGTGGTTGCCAGGGCTGGGGGTGGGGGGGGGTGGTGGAGAGTTATTTCATGGGCAGAGTTTCAGTTTTACAAGATGGAAAGAGTTCTGGAGATGGGTTATACAACCATATGACTGTAACTTTACTGAACTGTACGCGTAAAAATGGCTTAAGATGGCAGATTTTATGTATATTTTACCACAATTTAAATTTTTTAAAAAATGAAACGACTGGAGGATCTTAGAAAACTCTAGCAGAGTGCTCACAGCACAGAGCGCGCTGGACCAAGGCTCTGAAGGGAGTTCGGGCAATGCGGTTGAGGAGAGGGCTCCTGTTTTTAAACTGGAGGAGAGCGGATGTGTAGAAAACAAAAACAGAATTTTTGTAGGGAGGATAGAGCAAGAGGAAAAGAAAAACAACTAGGAACTCTGGGAAAAGCAGCTACACAGGAGGTTAAAGGTCCGCACAGTGTATTACCTAGCTCTGCATTGAACATTAACACACTGCTTTTAAAGCAAATGCCACTCATTGATTTAATTCATAGTAGTGACCGACTTAATGGACTTGAACTAGAACAAACTCCAGGAGACAGTGAAGGACAGAGAAGCCTGGTGTGCTGCAGTCCATGGGGTCGCAAAGAGTCGGACACGACCCAGCGACTGAACAAGTGATGGGGTGGAAGAGTGGGGTCCTGAAGAACCGCATCCGCCTCCATCACTGTTGACATTAAACTGTTAACATCTCAGATTGATAAGTCAAGATACAAGGATCCGAGCATTTTTAAAGGTAAACGACTATACGGTCACATAGAGAATATTCTTAAAGAAATTCCGTGTGTGTTATCTCCATGGAGAGAGCCTGTGGACCCTGGAGAAGGAAGAATCTCTTTTTGTTATGTATCTTTTGTACTTTTTATGCTTTCTCATGAGCATGTATTACTTTATAAATAAAAATGAGATCCAGTGCTTTTTACAAAATTATTAATGAAAAATGGCAGAAATTATATACCAGGAGATAGAAGAAAGTAGTGCTAGTTAGGGGGAATATTAGATGAAATTTTCTTAAAAGTTCAAACATTTGAATCATGCTTTAGTTATAGAAACATGACCTCAGGCAGGAAAGTGTAAGGTATCTCAGGGCTACATGAGATGTTTATTTCCAACATTTATTTCAATACTATGAAAGTGAAAGCCGCTCAGTCATGTCCGACTCTGTGACTGTATAGTCCATGGGTTTCTCCAGGCAAGAACACTGGAGTGGGTAGCCTTTCCCGTCTCCAGGGGATCTTCCCAACCCAGGGATCAAACCCAGGTCTCCTGAATTGCAGGTAGATTCTTTACCAGCTGAGCCACAGGGGAAGCCCCTAAACTGTAGTGCTGGGGGAATAGGTGGTTCTAATTAATTTAACTTTCAGAGTAATAAAATTAAGCAAAAATCATTTTTATTCCATGTTCTATAGAATACCTTTTTAAAAAAGTAGCTCTACTTGCCTATCTTATTAAGTTTAATATCAGAAGGTAATTGAAGGCTTTCATTAGACTGTAGATTAAGGAAGCACGCACAGGTGGGGCAGCTGTAGGATAAGGGAGTTAGAGAAGTTGGGGTTCGGAAAAAGACCGAGACGGCACTTTGCAGGAACAGGTCACCTTTAATGAGGCGAGAAGGGGCAGCAGTCAGATTAGTGAGTGCTGCACTAACCCAAGAGAAGAGTAGTGTATACAGGCATATATGTGGAAAGCTATTGTCTTAAGATGACCTGTTCTTCTCCAAGGTTGTTCCGAGTAGTTCTCTCTCGAGTGGCTGGGAGAAGGAATCCTGGAGATCGGCCAGAGGCTGGACCAGCTGGGAGCTGAGCTTAACCAGCCTTAATGTCCATTTTTTTCCCCACTTTGGGTGAGAGAGTTCTTTGTTTTGCATAGCATGGTGGGGAGGACCTGGAGGGAGAGTTTTAACTCCAAGCTATTTTGAGCCATGTAACTTTCCTTCAGCAGCCATGACATTCCTAGTTTTTATTTGTTCCCTTTTTCCCTAGACGTGGGGCAACAGCATGGTGATTACAGCACCAATGCACCATTCACAGAGCTTGACTGTGCTTTGTAAGAATACTTAAACACAGATTTCTTAGTGTCTGTGCACCTTTTAACATGAAAAGATTCCTAGAAGGTATTACCTTAGATAATGAACGTTTCCCAAGCTTGAGAAATGTCCTGACCTCCTTCTAAAAGTTGTTTCTCAACCTTGGCTGAGCACTGAAGTCATCTGGAAGCTTTTAAAACTCCTGATGACTGAGTTCTGTTCCCTGATCTCACTGAAAACGGTTGCAGCCTTGGCATTGGGGGGGGGGGGGCGGCGGGGGGGAGTGGTGGCAGTTGTTCATTCTGTGAAGAAAGTTGCTTTTTTTTTTTTCTCTTTTGCTGCCCTGGGTTTTCATCAGTTCATAGGCTTAGTTGCCCCATAGCAGGTGGGATCTTAATTCCCCTTCCCTAGCAGGGATCGAACCCACAGCCCTTGCCTTAAGGAGACAGGTTCTTAACCTCTGGACCCCCAGGGAAATCCGCTTCCCAGGTGGTTCTGATGAGAGGCCAAGAATCACTGTTTTAAAGGAAGACTAATCTCTTAAGTGGGCTTCCCTGGTGGCTTAGTGGTAAAGACTGCCTGCAAAAATGCAGGATCCAGTATTCTTGCCCAGGAAACCCCATGGACAGAGGAGACTGGTGGGCTACAGTCCATGGGGTCACAGACAGCTGAACACAGCTGAGGACAACGACAGAGTGCCCCCCCATCAAGTTGATTTAAATTGTTTTCCTTATGATGATATTCAGATATATACAGATGCTAGGTTGAGATCCCCTATGCGTGCAGTAGTTATAAGCACATTTACAAGTTAAAAACAAACTTCAAAATCAAGAAATTAAACAACAGTGATGGGTGGATAGCGGTGTTGTGCTGAGGCTTTTGTGTGTGTGTTGTTCCTTCTCCTTATTCTGTTAAATCCTCCTTCCCACCTGTCAGTCTGGGCCCAGTGAGGAGGCAGAGACTACATGGCAATATCAACAGGGAATGTTTGTTATGAGAATAATTAAATTGTGTATGCTAAGTTTCTTCAATCATGTCCAACTCTTTGCAGCCCCATGGACTGTGGCCCGCCAGGCTTCTCTGTCCACGGGATTCTCCAGGCAAGAATACTGGAGTGGGTTGCCATGCCCTACCTCCAGGGAATCTTCCTGACCCAGGAATCGAACCCATGTCTCCTGCTGCTCCATACATTGCAGGCAGATTCCTTACCACTGAGCCACCAGGGGGAGCCCAATTAAACTGTGGTAAGAGAGGAACTCTAGAAAACTGTGTGCTAACTAGGGCTGAGGGAGAGAGCCTGAGGAAGGCCCAACTGGAGGGGGCCCCTCCCCGAGGCTGGGGCTCACACCCACTGAAGGAGCGGTAGTGCAGCCCCCTGGATGGCAGAGCAGCTCCCAGCATCACCCAGGTCAGCCAGTGGGCAGTTGGTGGTCGCAGGAAGCGCTCCTCCAGCCAGGGAGAGCTGCCGCCAGTAGCCCATCATACGGACACACTGGAGTGGGGGGCAGCCTTCCCAGTGTGAGCTTTTAAAACCGCTGCTGATGGCCGGGCATGCCAGTGTGCAGACAAAGGGGCAGTGTCAGTGCCGCGGGCACAGAGCACGTGGCATCCCCATCAGGAGGGCATTGGCTGCATCATGGGGAGAAGCCCATAGAGACCAGTGTGGGAGCATGGCAAGCAGCGGGAGGCCCGCAGGGTGTGTGCTGACAGGGTCACTGGAAGCCGACCCTGGATCATGCCACAGCTGCAGGGTTGCTAGGAGACTGCCCCTTCTCCCTCCGTGGCCAGGGTCCTCCCCAGCGGTCCTCCTGGCCACATGCTGACCTCACAGCGGGCCAGCCCCTTGCTCCTGCAGATCCCTCTAGGGCCCTCACTGGGAAACTTCTGCGTGGCGCTCACAGGGAAGAAGGGCTTAAGGGAACACATCCCTCATTGCGTGGCCTGTGCTGGAGGGTGAACCTGGAGCTGACAGGCAGTGAGTTGATAAGCGACAGCAGCCCGCCCCGCAGACACTGGTGCAACGTTAAGCTGTAGCTCATAAGCCGCCCGACTCTTCAGGAGGAGCTCGGTGCTGTGTTCTGTGAACCCTTCCGGCTGCTCCCCATGCTGTGTAGGGAGCTCTGTTTAAAAAACAACTAGTCTGTCGAACACACAAGGTGTGCGTAAGAATAGCCTCCAAACTCTGACTTGGTTGTTCTAGAGTGGGACCCAGGGGTCTGCACTTTTAATCCGGAAGGTGTGATGACAGTGGTCCCTGAGACAGAAATACTGGTCTGGAGCTGGACTGTAGGGACTAAGTCTTTTTCTCCATCTTGTCCTCTAATGCTGCGTACACTGCCTGATAGAAGGTTGGTGTTCAACAGATGTGGGCTGAGTGAATGGCCGCCACAAATGGCTGTGTGCTCTGGTACTGGAGAGAAGTGGAGCCCTGGAGCAGGGCAGGGGGGGTGAATGTCCACGTCTAATGCCTCTTCTCAAAATATCCTTCTTCGTACCATGCGTGGAACTCTGCTTGACTTGCAACTTTCGGCAGCCAATTTTTTTTTTTTTCATTTAAAATCATTCATTTAAAATGGATATTAGGCTAATACCACTTTTCTTCATTTTTAATAGGGAGAAAGAACAAGAAACACAAAAAGAGGAACATTTGATGGAAGAAAAGAAAAAGAAAAAGCAGGAAGAAAAGAAAAAGAAGGAAGGTGCTCAGAAAAAGGTTTGGCTAGTTCCCAGTCCATTGTTTCTGTAGTCCCTCTGTCTCACTGCGGTATCATAGCCATTACGTTACAGAGGTTCAGTTTATTACTTTTGAAATTCGGTATGCTCGATCTAGAGTGCTGGTGACATAGATAAAGGGTGACAATCACAAAATGTCTTTTGAAAGAAGTATTAGAGCTGTGCTTTGAAGGAGTTTGTGTTCACTTTTAGTGTCTGGTAGTAAAGAATGGCCATGCTATTTTATTTAAACTGAACTGTCCAAAACAACCATGTGTAAGGCCCATTTAACTGATTTTGTTAGAAAAGCTAGAAATAATATTTGCAGGTTTGGCAAGTGTTCTTTTACAACTTCTACCAGTAAATATTACAATTTAAAGTCATACTGTAAATCTTACCATCAGGCTTGAATTTTAGGTACAAATTACATTGTTTATTTTATTCTTGCCTGATTTAATGTACCTTATAGTTAAAACTGTTTATGTTTTAGTCTGTATTAAAATATAGAGCTTAAATGAGCTTCCAGATAGATTGTTTTGCCTTTGGGTCAATATTGGCACATAATGACATGTAGACAATTATACATTTTTTCCCAGTAATAAATTTTAATAAAGTAACTGGGCAAAAACTTGTTTTTAAAGTTTCTAATATTTAAGTCTGCTTATACACTTTCATATGGATGTGTACATCCTACACATTATTCCTAAAGATTTTTTTTTTTTTTTCAGGCTGCTGATCAAAAAACCAAAGGTGAGTTTACTTTATTTTGGGGGGTAAATTTTATGGCAGTACCAAAGTTTATGATGATGACTTTTTAAAAAATTGGTGGTTAAACACAAAGAATCTAACCCTGCCTTTGAATCTATTTTTTACAATTCACTGTGAAATTCCTTACTTATCACTGGTTTTACATCTGCATTTAGTTAGCATGTGCTTAATCTAAAATGCCTACAGAATGTTTTATTAGGGTACATGTGTCTTTTTCAGTTATGGCTTCCTAAGGGAATATGCCCAGTAGTGGGGTTGGGTCACATGGTAGTTTTATTTCTAGTTTTTTTAGTCAATCTCCGTACTATTCTCCATAGTGGCTGTATCAGTTTGCATTCCCACCAACAGTGCAAGAGGATTCCCTTTTCTCCATACCTTCTCCAGCATTTATTGTTTGTAGATTTTTTGATGATAACCATCCTGAAGGGTGTGAGGTGATGCCACATTGTAGTTTTGATTTGCATTTCCCTAATAATAAGATGTTGAGCATTGAAATATACACATTACCATATGTAAAATTTGGAAATTTGCTGTTTGATACAGGGAGCTCAAACCTGGTGCTCTGTGACAACCTAGAGGTGGGGTGGAGTGGGAGATGGGAGATGCTTAAGAGGCAGGGGACATGCACATGTCCCTGTAGGGTGGGTATGTCCCCTGTGGGTGACTGTGGCTGAGTCAAGTTGATACATGGCAGAAACCAACACAATATGGTAAAGCAATTATCCTCCAATTAAAAGTAAAAAATTTTTAAAATATATATATTATATTAGCTTTCTAAACAATGCTTTATAATTTTCCTTCTGATTTGATTTCCACCAATCAAGGATTAAGCCAATAATGTTGACCCAGTTTGTGTAAACAACCAAAGGATACTAAATTTCTTTAAAGCTTCTACTTTCTCTTTGCCAACTATTACAATAAAAGGAGATATATTCTTTCTATATTCTTCTCTCTTTGCTTATTAATGTGTGAAAGATTTCCTTTTTATTCTCCAAGTCCGGAATTGGCACTGGTTGTCCTGACGGGTGTGAGCAGGAACGCATGTGGTTCTCACAGTACCCTGGGCGTCTCTGCCCCGTGCTGATGGGCCGGCAGAAGGGAAGCCGCTCTCGGAGCCTCCTCGCTTGGAGCTTGACGTGCTCGGAGACTGTCCAGTGCTGGGGAGCATACACAAAGGACTTGCAGTCACCAGCTCCATCTAATCTGGGGCAAGGCACTTCATCTCTTTAAGCCTCAGGTATCTCATACTTACCATGAGAAGGGTGAGGGGTGAGTTTTCACACCTCGCAGAGCTGTTGTGAGATCCACAGGGCCAGGGCTCGGTGCCTGGCACAGAGCTCGTGCTTGCTAGAGGTTGGCTGTGGTTATTTGTAAGTTGTTGTTTCTGTTGGACGGTCACGTGTAATTGTAGGCGCAGACACGTGCTCCCTTTTGCCTGGCATTTGTAGTTTTCCAAGTAGAGTTTATGTCATCTCATTTCAACTTCGTGATCGAACAGGGCAGGTGTTAGTTGACAATGAAGAAACCATGGCTGACAGCGTGACTTAATGTGGCTTGCTCCTGGCCGAGACTTAGTGCGAGGACGGGCCTCAAGGGAGCCTGGGCCTCTGACCCCAGCGTGCTTGCCTCGGAGCTCTCACCGCAGAGCCTTGGTAAGAGATGGATTTCATGTAAATGAATATTTAAAGACAGCATAGTTTTCAAAGAGGACATTTTCTCTCTCACGTTCTCAGTGGTTGTGTGAATTTACAAAACACTGGTCAGAAGGGCCCAAAAGGCTGCGGTCCATGGTTGTTTTGAAATTATGATCTTGAAAAAGAAATAATGGTTTCTTAGCATTATCATTTTAAAGTGCAAAATTATTGCTCTGAATTATCCATTTCCTTTTTTTTTTTTTAACATTTGGTGAAGTTTTTACAACTTGATTCAGTGCCGGCCAACAATGTTCTGTTGTCACTATAATTGTTTTCTCTTGAAATAGTAACAAATTGCTTATGATTGTACAGTGATCATGAATTACATTGTCCCGCACTTTACAGAGTTATTATTTTCTATTACTGTTCTGATGAGTATTTTCATTGCTGACTCCAAACCCTACTGGGTTTTTATCTTCTCCTTTTATCTTCTCTGAAATACTGCTCCTTTGGGTACAATTTATCAGTAACTATACTAACTATAACCAGCCTCAGAACAGAACATAATGATTATTAACATCCTTCTAAACAACGGGGGGAAAAAATGCTTTTTTGAATTATAAATAACAGTGCTGCTAGGTAATTCATTAATAAATATTAGCAGCGCCAAGGTCTAAATTTTTCTCAGGCTCTCCATTATTACTGGTTCCACTCAAAATTAACTGCCTAAAAAAATTAATAAATAAACTGCCTGTGAGGTGGTGATTCTGAGTTTCCAACCGGACCTGTGTGTCAAATAGCACAGGCTGGGCCTGACTGAGTCTTGAAATACACTATACGAATAGTACGGGTGCCCACACAGAGCACAGACCTGCTTTGCAAACCGTCTGGCATTTTCCTGTCTCTCCCCGCTCTAGAGTCTGTAGCCAGAGGGGCAGGCCCGCATTCGCCTTGGGCCCTCTCATGCCCCCAGCTCCTCAGAGGCCTCACAGGCACTGGCTTTGAGACACACCCTGTCTGTGAATTAGTTCCAGTCACGGTCGGCGCTGTCTGCCGTGTCCACACGGGTAAACTGAAGCTCTGAGAGTTTGCCCAGTGCCCCCAAAACCATGTAAATTGTCAGTGGCAGGGCTGATGTGCCCACAATCTTCCTGAACTTGCATCATCCAGGAGGGGCACGCAGCAGACATTTCACCCGGCATCGACTGTTTGTCAGTACCTATCATGCTCCAGAACAGTCCTGTATCGGGAGAGGGATGCTCGGAGCTCCTGAGTAGCAGGGCGGGGTCCGTCCTGCCTCTGCTTCCAGAACCAGGTCTCAACCTCCTGGCCAGATGTGACGGCCCCCCCTGCAGAGTCACCAGAAGTCAGAGAACCCTGCTGTCACCACACAGCAGCGCCCAGCAGGGCCAGGGCCAAGGTACTAGAATGTAGGAAGGAGTTTAACAATTTGAGTGAGTCCAGGAATTGAATCCTCTTATGTGAGAGGCTACAGCTATAAATAAGGTGATATAATACAGTGAGTTGGATAGCATAGTAGAAGTTTGAGTTGATTTTATTTTGATAATTAGCTCAAACGGGACCATGTCAATTCGTCAGTGCCATGCTCTGTGACATTGCACATGGCATAAACAGTAGTGTTAGTAGAGCTAACACTAATAGTGTTAGCTAATAGTGTCTCCACTATTTAGCATCATGCTTGACTTAACTTTCTCAATAACGGAAACTTCACCTCTTTAAGTTTTGATTTATTTCAAACATTTTTGAAGAACTCTTTATATGTTATACACGTACCTATATTATCAGTTCAGTTCAGTTGCTCAGTCGTGTCCAACTCTTTGTGAGTCTGTGGACTGCAGCACGCTGGGCTTCCCTGTCCATCACCAATTCCCAAAGCTTGCTCAAACTCATGTCCACTGAGTCAGCAATGCCATCTAACCATCTTATCCTCTGTCATCCCCTTCTCCTCCTGCCTTCAATCTTTCCCAGCATCAGGGTCTTTTCCAGTGAGTCAGTTCTTCACATCAGGTGGCCAAAGTATTGGTGCTTCAGCTTCAGTATCAGTCCTTCCAATGAATATTCAGGACTGATTTCTTTTAGGATGGACTGGTTTGATCTCCTTGTGGTCCAAGGAACTCTCAAGAGTCTTATCCAAAACCTTAGTTCAAAAGCGTCAATTCTTCGGCACTCAGCTTTCTTTATAGTCCAACTCTCACATCCATACATGACTACTGGAAAAACCATAGCTTTGACTAGACAGACCTTTGTTGGCAAAGTAATGTCTCTGCTTCTTAATATGCTGTCTAGGTTGGTCATAGATTTTCTTCCAAGGAGCAGGTGTCTTTTAATTTCGTGGCTGCAGTCACCATCTGCTGTGATTTTGGAGCCCCAAAAAATAAAGTCTCTCACTGTTTCCATTGTTTCCTCATCTATTTGCCATGAAGTGATGGGACAAGATGACATAATCTTAGCTTTCTGAATGTTGAGTTTTAAGCCACCTTTTTTACTGTCATCTTTCACTTTCATCAAAAGGCTCTTTAATAGTTCTTCACTTTCTGCCATAAGGGGAGTGTCATCTGCATATCTGAGGTTATTGATATTTCTCCCAGCAACCTTGATTCCAGCTTGTGCTTCATCCAGCCTGGCATTCACATGATGTACTCTGCACGTAAGTTAAATAAGTAGGGTGACAATATACAGCCTTGACATATTCCTTTTCCTATCTTGGAACCAGTCTGTTGTTCCATGTCCAGTTCTAACTGTTGCCTCTTGCCTGCATACAGGTTTCTCAGGAGGCAGGTCAGGTGGTCTGGTAGTCCCATCTCTTTAAGAATTTTCCACAGTTTGTTGTGTTCCATACAGTCAAAGGCTTTGGCATAATCAATAAAGCAGAGGTAGATGTTTTTCTGAAACTCTCTTGCTTTTCCTATGATCCAGCGGATGTTGGCAATTTAATCTCTGGTTCTTCTGCCTTTTCTAAATCCAGCTTGAACATCTGGTAGTTCACAGTTCATGTGCTGTTGGAGTCTGGCTTGGAGAATTTTGAGCATTACTTTGCTAGCGTGTAAGATGAGTGCAGTTGTGCAGTAGTTTAAATATTCTTTGGCATTGCCTTTCTTTGGGATTGGAATGAAAACTGACCTTTTCTAATCCTGTGGCCACTGCTGAGTTTTCCAAATTTGCTGGTGTGTTGAGTGCAGCACTTTAATAGCATCATCTTTTAGGATTTGAAATAGCTCAACTGGAATTCCATCACCTCCACTAGTTTTGTTCATAGTGATGCTTCCTAAGGTCCACTTGACTTCAGACTCCAGGATGTCTGGCTCTAGGTAAGTGATCACACCATCG